AGAGATGAGGTCTCACTGCCCAGGTGGGTCTCGAACCCGCGGGCTCAGGCAATCCACTCATCTCAGCCTCCCAAAGGTGCGAGATTGCAGGCTGAGCCACCGAGCCCGGCTCACAAAACATTTTTTTAAATATTTTTTTTTCTTGACCAGGTTGGAGTGCAGTGGCATGATCACAGTTCATCTCAGTCTCGACCTCCTGGGCTCAGGTGATCCTTTTGCTTCAGCCTCCGAGTAGCTGGGACTACAGGCCTGCGCCACCATGCCCAGCTTATAACGTTGCCAGGCCAGTCTCAAGCTTCTGGGCTCAAGTGATCCTCCCACTTTGGCCTCCCAAAGTGCGGAGATTACAGGCATGAGCCACTGCACCCAACCAGAACCCGTGTCCGTAACACCAGCCTCATGGTCACATAGCAGTGCAAACATTCAGTTATGCATGTAGCCTCTCGTTCATACACTCAACAATCATTTGGGGGCACATCAGGACCCAGCCTGATTCTGCTACTCTGTGGTTTCCAGGTGAGCCCCTGAGCCCAGGGAGGTGTGTCTACCAGAGAGTGGGGAGAAGGCCCACCTCCCGTGCCCCAGCCTCTCTGCAAGGTGCAGGCCATGCACAGGTCCAGGCCTGGCCTCTGGGTCTCTTGAACGCAGCTCTCTTCACTACCTCCTCAGGTGAACACCTCTCCTGACCCTGGAGCCACAGACTTGGGATTTTTGAATCAAATCCTGGAAGTTCCAGCCAGGTGCAGTGGTTTACACTTGTAATCCCAGCACTTTGGGAGGCCGAGGCAGGAAGATTGCTTGAGCCCAAGAGTTCAAGATCAACCTGGGCGACATAGCAAGACTTTATCTCCACAAAAAAAATTTTTTTTAATTAGCTAGAGGTTGGGCACGGTAGTTCATGCCTGTAATTCCAGCACTTTGGAAGGTGGAGGTAAGAGGATTGCCTGAGCCCAGGGGTTTGAGACCATCCTGGGAAAACTGGCAAGATCTCATCTCTACAATAAATCAAAAAATTAGCTGAGTGTGGTGGTGCGTGCCTGTGGGTCTAGCAACTGGGAAGGCTGAGACGGAAGGATCACCTAAGCCCAGCAGGCTGAGTCTGTAGTGGCCATGAGCGTGCCATTGCACTCCAGCCTGGGTGACAGAGTGAGACTCTGACTCAAAACAAAAAAAATTAACCAGGTATGGTGGTGTGCTCCTGTAGTCCCAGCTACTCAGGAGGCTGAGGAGGGTGGATCGCCTGAGCCCAGAAAGTTCAGGCTGCAGTGAGCCATGATCATGCCATTGCATGGGTGACAGAGTGAGACCCTGACTCAAAAATAAATAAATATTATTTTCAAATTTGAAAAAAAATTACAATGCCTCTGAAAACCACATAATGTGTGTTTGGCACTATCTATGGCTTGGAAATTATCAAAGCCCGCAGTCCTTGTGTTGCACAGGGCAGTGGGTTGCAGGGACCCCGATACTGGTGGTCTGGGCACTTTCTTATCATCGCACAAGCGCAGGACAACTTAACAGCTTTGGGGGCAGGTTGGCCAGAAGTTTACCCTGAGCTGACACGATAAATCACTATCGGGACCCAAGATCACACCAGCCAAGTTATGACCTTCAGCCACCCAGGTCAGATGCCACCTGCATGCCGAGGCCACCTGGCAGCCAAGTGGCAGCCTGGTCTGGGGTCCCCGGAATCTGATACGAATGCTGGCCGTGGGCGTGTCCCTCTTCTGCTCTAGGCCAGCCTCAGCTTCCTCCTCCAAGAAGCAGAGAAAATAGCAGATCCTGGAGATGGGCCTTGGGAGACTAAACACCGAAGACACTTAATTCCTGACATGGAGTAGGCCCCAGCACGGTCCCTAGAGCTGAAAACGGCCTCCCTCAGCCAAGCCCAATTTTCCTTAACAAATCACTTAACAAATGTGTTGCTGGACACAGTGGTTCACACCTGTAACCCCAGCACTTCAGGAGGCTGAGGCAGGAGGACTGCTTGACCCCAGGAGTTTGAGACCAGCCTGGCCAACACAGCAAGACCTCATCTCTACCAAGAATTTTAAAAAATGAGCCAGGCATGGTGGCACACGTCTGTAGTCCCGGTTACTCAAGAGGCTGAGGCAGGGGGATGGTCTGAGCCCAGGAGGTCGAGACTGCTGTGAGCTGTGACCGTGCTACCGCACTCCAGCCTGGGCAACAGAGTGAGACTACAAAAACAAAAATAAAAAACCCCAAATCTGTTGTTATTATTAAGAGGGACAAGCTTATCAGACACACCGATGGTGGGCCTTGGGAGGGCTCTCCTGGGGAGACTGTCCCCGGGAATGTCCCAGAGAGGAAAATGTGGGCTCGGTCGAGGGAGGCCTTTTCCAAGGTCCAGTTGCCCGAATGGCACTGTGTCCTCTGAGAAGCCATGAGATCTCCGTCATTGGAAGTGCATACGCCGCAGACCACCCGGCCCACCCCCAGACCCTGGCCCTTCCCCACTAGGTCACCCACCAAACCTGGCCCTTTCCACCAGGGTCTTGTGACATTCGAAGGACTGCCCTGATCCCAGACCCTGCCTCCAGAAATGCCACTCCTATCTGACCCTGTGAGATACCCACGTCATTCCCTAGGCAGGGAGGTGGAGGAGGACTCGGCCACTGCCCCAAGAACAGCCACAAGGAAGGCACCCACATCTCGTTGGCCCTGGGCAACCTCTGTGCCCCTACCCAACCCCACCACGGGCACTCACCCTTGGGGACTCCAGGAAGAGGATGTGGACTTCGAGCGATGCGTTGGAGACCTGAGCCACGCACCCCTTGGAGACCTGGCTGGTGGTATATGTCACCTCGCCTCTTGCGGGATCCACAGGCTGTAGGTCACAGTGGTTTGTTTCTGCAAGACCTGAGGAAAGAAAGACACAGCCCGAGCGAGGGCCCGGTAGAGATAAGGTGATGACCACCACTCCCACTCTCTTTTTGTTTGTTTTTTGAGTCTGGGTCTCACTTTGTTGCCCAGGCTGGAGTGCAGTGACACGATCACAGCTCACCACAGCTTCAACCTCCTGGCCTCAGGTGATCCTCTCTCCTCTGCCTCCCGAGATTGTGAGACTATAGGTGCATGCCACCATGTCTGGCTATTTATTTATTTATTTTTTTTGAGTTGGAGTCTCACTCCATCACCCAGACTGGAGTGCAGGGGCCGCTTCCAGCCACCACAGCCTCGACCTGCTGGGCTCCGGCGATCCTTCAGTCTCAGCCTTCCCAGTAGCTGTAACTACAGGCATGTGCTACCATGCCCAGCTAGTTTTTGATTTATTGTAGAGATGAGGTCTCGCCAAGTTGCCCAGGCAGGTCTCGAACCCATGG